AGACAAAGGACAGACTGAGTTTGTTCCTTATTACTATACAATGCTTCTAAGTCTTTAACCTGTTATTAGGACAGACAGTGTTCAAATCTACTTTTCAACCGATAATGAGATCTGCCAGCACAGTACAGACCGGGCTAATTATATAAACATTAACCTACTTAGCCCCCTGCATTCCAGAGCAAAGCTCATTACAAAGAACAACTTGGCAATTTGACTTTTGTCTTGCGATGGTTGTAAGGTAATTAAAAAAACGTACGATCTGCCCATCTTGGACAGGCAGATCGTACTTGTGATCATCGCATGCCCGCCCCCCTGAGGGGCAGGCTTCCGATGACTGCAATGCTGAATGGGCAGTGTGCGCTTGCGTCTGCTCGTAAGACAAAAGACACTCGACCGTACAGTAGAAACGGTCGCACGCCTTCATTACACCAGCCGATTATGGTATGATCGCGGGATTTCCCGCAATTATCATACGATAATCGGCAGGTGTATGGGCACCTTCACACTTTAAAAGCAATGCAGTGGTAACTCTACTTTATTGGCAGCCAGTTATCCAGCCCACACAGTGAAGGCTGGTCCTATGAGTTACTCATGTCCAGAGAAAGTGTTCCGATGAGCAGATTATGCACTAGTGATAACAAACTATAGAGAAGCGATGTACTCAGAAAGTGAATCCAAGGTGTTCTCTTGTGAAAGACAGTTTGACTTAAAAACAAACAAAAGATCTGTTGAAAGAACATGAAAATAATTCTGTATGAATAGTACATTACATATTTCAATGAAGTATAAGGAGAAAGTACAGATGGGTAAACATCTGCAGGAAAGCACCCACCTTAGGGTCATTGTTGTCTCCTAGTATTTTGAGAAAGTTAGGCGAGGGGGAGTGGAATGGGGGCATACACTTCGACTTCTCTGACTTCGCCGTGAGGCCCTGTGGATTTTTAGACTTAAAACTCTCACACCTTCTGGGCCCATTCACACCATGTCCGGATCATTTTTCTTCCACACCAAAAATTCATCCCAATGCATTTGTATGTGATTTTGGGGCTCTGTTCACACCAGTCCACTCCATTCCAGTGCAGGAAAAAAAAATGCTGCACTGGAACTGGCTCCACTGTTAATGAGAAGACCTAAAAAGGTGCTCTCAGGAGCTCCATACATGCACTCTGAGAATTGCTGCCTACCTTCCTGCACTGCCAGTACTGTTGCAGCATACCATGGTACCGGACTGAACTTAAGAAGGTAAAGATAAATAAAGAATTAAACAGTTTTGGCTATAATGGCAGTGACTTAGCAGACTCCTGCAGCTTGTCCCCAATCTTTACCGTTTTCTGCAGGATGTCCCTGATCTCCCGCCATTCCTGCAGCATGTACATAGTCTTTGACCACCTCCAGTAGTATGTTCACAATCTTTTCCCGTCTTCTCTAGCACTACATATACTGAATATTATGTGTGGGCATATAGTGATTGCTGGAGCCATGCTTGAAACCTTCTATCTCTAGGAAGTTGACAACCACATATATTAAGCTTCTGGTTAGCCACCTTACTTTCATTAGTGATATATAAACATGATTTACATGAGTTAGGCTAAGTTGCAAGCAGCAACATGTTTTTATCCACTATCATACAGCAACAACTCAGCAATTTGTTTTATCACTATACAGCTTACAACGTTAGAACATAGAAATAACTGGAAAATGTTAAATTATGCTACAACAAGCCACAATACATTTTGGGTAATAATTATGAAGACAATTGCTTGGCTTGAAAAAAGAACTCTAGGCTAGGGATGCACCGATATATAGGCCACCGAAACACATAGCCTAAAATGCCACTTTTGGCAGTATGCCGAAAGTGCCATTTTCAGGCTAATACAGCGGTGCATCCATTCCATTCTCTTCTCCACGCTGGGCGCTGCTCTGTGTCCCAGCGTGAGGAGAGAAACTGTGACAGGAGGCCGAGCACTGCGGGAGGGGAGCGCTGTGAGCGGCCGGCGTCTCTCCTCCCACACCGCTCAGCCTCCTTTCACAGATCAGAGGAGAGCAGTGTGGGCGGAGACAGCCAGCGCTGTTACAGCAGGCTGAGCTCCGCCTCCTGTGACAGCGTGTCAGGAAGGAGAGCAGTACAAACACTCAGTGATCGCTGAGTGTTTGTAAATAATTGAGAACATAGTATGTTTACTATATCCTCCATTATGAATGAATGGGAAGTGATCTACATCACTTCCTGTTCATTCATGATTGTGGTAAACATACTATCACCACATGTTATGAATGAACAGGAACACTCAGTATAGAGGATTCCTGTTCATTTATTACAGAGGCTGCAGAAAAAGAGATTGAGGTCTCTATGTCCTCAATCTCTTTTTCTATTTTAAAAGGTAAATATCAGGGGTCTGTTTAGACCCCCAATATTTCTCCAAAGCCCCTAAAAGTAAAACATTAAAATATTTAATAAAAAATGAAATAAATAAAAATAAATATAAAAAAATTTAAGTTTATAAAAAGTAGATAAAAACATTTGAAAAAGTTCAAATAAAAAAAACATTTCCGTTTCAACCTGACATCTTATTTAAATTTTGGTTTTGAAATGTTCATTTCGGTGCACCTCTACTCCAGGCAAATAAAATCTTAACACTTGTAGTGGGGCCATCCCCACACTGCAAGGGTTAAGTACTCACTTTGTCTAAGGAGCTACAATATCAGAGTTATACTCATCCAAACCTCCTAGCCTGCTGACTGTTAGGCTAGTCCTTGGAGTCTCGCTCCCCCTCTGCTATGACGGGCTAAGGTCCTGTGAGTCATCACATCCTATTCGGTGTAAAGAACATGAGGATACCGAGGGACATTCCATTGCTAGACTGGAGGAGAAGACAGGCTAGAGGGACCAATCAAGGAGTGCGATTCCGGTGAGTCAATCACTGTGATTTTATCTCCCTAGGCAAAATGAGACCTTAACCCTTGCAGTTTGGGGATAGCCCAACTGCAAAGGTTAAGATTTTATTTTCCCAGAGTTCTTCTTTAAGAATGTCCTGTTGTTTTAGAAAAGCCCCTAATGTTAAACAAAATATATACTGTCCTAGAATCATCTTGTGAAAATCTCCATGCTTTACCGTGGAGAGGAGCAATGGGTGAGGGAAGCAGCTCCTAGTACTAAAGGAAAACCCATTCAAGTGGCAGGCATTATATCTTCCCCTGTCCTCTGGAGGTGGTAAAAAGCAGGAGCCAGAAATCAATAAATTCAAAATCAATCAATTTGATCATTAAAACACAGGTAAAGCAGGTGTAAAGAGGATGGCATGGTACTGTAAATTTGTCATGCAAAGCACACTGCTGAAAACAAATCGACTAAATCGATTAACTGTTGCAGCTCTACTATGCAGTGACTGCGATGTGTACAACCAACTGTTATGTTTCCAGCTATGGTTTGTTTCATATTGCTGCTAAAGGTTCCCACAGACATTGTAACCATAAACATACAGTAGTACAAATATTAGAATACTTGTAACATATTTTAACACCTGCCTGCTGCAGGTCTCATTTGCCTAATCATTGAAACATCCAATCATAAAACCAGTAAAAATATCCTATGTTTGGAACTCTCTGATAGTTTCATCAAGTACATCAAGTAGATCCGGTTTATCAATCAACAATTTATGTTCCTCCTTTAGATCTCAGAACATTCGCTCCACTTTCTAATAGTTGGGGTCAAATCGATGATCAATTTGCACCGAAGTGACGAAAAAAGTAAAAGGAGCAGCATGGGAAATTTTTCTTGAAGAAAAAAAATTATAACAGTAAATGTGGTTTTTGTTCGGGAAATTCCACTTATTCCAAAATTGAATTTTAAGTCGAAATAAAAATCGAATGAAATTTTGGACGGCATACGTGAAATCTCTGATGGCATTATCGGACGGTCTGAAAAGATGTTTCATACAAACATTTGTTCGGAAATCTACCAGTGTATGGCCAGCTGCTTTAATTCTACTACGGTAGTCGATGAACTGCTTTATCACCATGTATGGTCAGACTGTTGCACAATGACAGTAGACTCATCAGGATGAAACAATGACATGCTCCTAAGAAGAATGGGCACATAACAGGTGTCGGCTAGCTAAGACGCCTAGGTAAAGCCCATCCCTACCCTTCTAATTCTACCACCTCCTTCCTGAATTACCACCCAGAAGCTCAACAATCCCGTTCACATCACAATCTCTAGTCCCCCTTCACATCATAAGCTCATCAAACCCGCCTTCACATTAGAGTGCTCATCTCCCCCCACCCCTTCCCCTATCAAAGTCCTATCATCAGGAGCTGCAGATGATGCAGCATGTCAGAGGGCAGAAGGCAGAAGCCTGGATGAAGGTGAACTACCATCCTTTTCTGAATGGGCCCCACCCTCCCTGGATTGGCATAATTATTTTCCATGGTGCTGGTGGCCTGCTTCAACCATGGAAAAGCATGACACTGTGTGAGCATTCCGAGGCACCCTAGTTGAGAAAAGCCATCAATCAGAACAGCAAAGGTTATGATTTAACCACATATCTCCATGAAAGATGCAGTCTGACAGACAACCAGGATCAATGTAACACTAAGAACTAAAGGTGCCCACAAAATAGATTACAACTCAGAAGGTAATCTCACTAGTTATAAATATAACCAGGATATTGGGAATCAATTACCAGCTAAACAAAGAAGAACCAGACTGCTACACACAGCGTACAGTGGCTCAGACTGGCTGATCAATATAGCTGCCTCTAGAAGCAAATCAAAGCAGGATGCTTGACTTTAGGAGATGAAAGGATAGAACAAAAAAGGAGAATCCTAAATGCTTGCTGTGTATGTCTATAAACAATAAGAGGCCACATGTCTTTGCCGAGTGTCCGTGGGCTGCCAAGGGCTGTGCCTGAGGCCAAAGCGCTCTCTAGTGAACTCCCCTGCCAGCATGCATTTCACAGAGAAATCAGCCTTTGTTTCCAGGCAGAGAAAGCATCTACCACACCTGTTACTGTCAACTGTAACCTCTTGGTAGGCAGAACTAAAGCTGGCCATACACATGTAGAATTTCCTTCAAAGAAATGTGTTTTCGAAATGTTGGTTGGATTTTCTAATAGCTGATGGGTCAAATCGACAAGTTCAACCACAGTGATGAAAAATCAAAGGAGCAGAAGGGAAATTTGTTTTTGAATGAATGGAATTATAACAGTGAATGGGATTTTTGTTAGGGAAACTTCATTCCTTCCAAAATCGAATGTTTGAAATTTCGTTTGGTTCTAACAACATTCTTCAAGTCTCTGATGGCATTATTGAATTGTTCTGATTACATTTTTGTATGAAGGTTCATAAAAAAAAATCTACCAGTGTATGGCCAGCTTAAGACCTATCCCAAAACTGACTCGATGACAGATATGAAATTATTGAGTTTTTGTTGCTGCTGCATCTATGATACATAGGATCCATGGTGGATCCGCTTTTCAGAGGGTGGTGGAGCAGCGGCTGCACAGAGTTCATGAGGTGATGCTGCCGCCTTCTGAATGCAGGTTTTTTTGGTTTTTATATCCCAATGAGCACACAGACACACATATTGTACAATGGCATCCATTCCCCCTGTGCTATTGTGTTTTGACAGCTGCAGGTGTGCCACAGTCAGAATAGCCGAACAGTGAATGCAGCTGATTGGCTCCCATCACTGCTCAGCTAAGAATCAAGCTCCTTTGACAAAAATTGATTGAGAAGTAGACTTTTGTCAAATGGGGGATCCCCAAGAGAACACACAATGCTAGATTTTTCGGCGGGTCAGCAGGACTCCGACGAAATTCGAGCAATGTATTGCCAGATTTCAGTGCACTGTCCAATGTATAGAAAACATGTATAATTCACATGTGTAGCTTTAAACATGGTCTGCCGTACAAAAAATGCTAATGAACAAAACGTGCAAAAAATAACTAAAAAACACCTGAAAGAAGGCAAGCATTGGTACTTTGTAAACCCCTACTCTGTATCTTTTAGGTCTGATCTGCAGATCCGTAAATAAAACTTTTTCATATTGCATTTAACCAAGTTATGGTCACCTTGTTGCATATATTATATATAATCATCAAAACCACGATAGAATTTACTAAGCAACAATTAAAATACACAATAAATGCAAGTTTTTGTGCCTTAATGTGAATGATGAATACATGCCAGAAGTATTGTCTCCCTTACATGTTCTAACCATCTTTAACAAAAGGAAAGGAATATCCACTTGTGCCTGAAAGGCATCCCTTTTACCCATCTCAGAAATGTGACAGGTATGAGTTCACACAATGCTGAGAAGGGTAACTCATCCAATTTACAGGCATTCTGCTGAAAAGAGAAACATATGCAACGTAAATGATTTTCCATCAAGGAAACCGCTATCTTTTCTGTTACCACAAAGCCATTCTGTCATGAAGAGTTTAATTTTTCCCCTTTTCCTGTGACCTATACAAGAGTTCACTTCCTGATGTCAGTGTGTGGCTGCACACTTCCTTGTTTGCATAGCTGAGTGCAGAAAAACTGAATTGATAATCACGGTCAGCACGATTAAAAAAAAACCTTTTAAATAGACAGCAGGGAGAAGGCTGGCCATACACTGTACATTTGTTCTTATTCAGCATTGAGGGCTGAACAAGAAAACGCTCGACCCCCCTGCCAGTTATTGTATTCTGACGGTGTGCCACTGTCAGAAAACCTGACACTGACGTAGCTAATAGGCAGCTTCAACAAAAGAAGATTGAAAGATAGATTTTTGTCAAACAGGGCTGAGGTAGGGTGGGGCAAGGTGGGGTGGTGTTCCCAACAGTGGAGTGGTGTGCCAAACAGTGGTCAGATGTCAGTTGAGTCCTGTTGGTCACAATTCACACAGCATATGTCTGCTTGATAGAACATGCTGGATCACCATCTAAACCAAACCATACATTCCTGGCAGTTTAAACATTAACCAATTTTACTGCCAAGCACAGGGTTTATAATAAACAAAGACTTACAGTTTTACTACTTTTATCACATTGCTGACACTTGTGATCACTAAAGATCAGCTGAAGAACCTGACAATAATAAAGCTGAACTTCAGGCAGATATTAAAAAATAATGAATGATGATCTGTATTTATTTTTTTTAAAAATTGAAATCCCCTGTAAGTACCTGAATAATCTCGAGAATCAGAAGTCAGATTGAGTGAGGGAGAACCAGCACTACTGGCCTATCAGGAGTGCTGCATGCACATGTGCTTATGAAGGACATGCCAACAGGAGGAGGGAAAATGAACACAGGGAATGAGGGAGAATGATTCCCCTCTTCAGAGCACTGCTGCTTCTTCACTGTCCAATTACAGGCTGGAGACCAGAAGGTGACCTATACTGCTCAAAGCCCATTTCCACCTTTGTGGAGGTATTTTCAAAATACATATGCCAGCAGTGTACACAGAGTGTACATGAAGGAGGCATATACCGTTGCTGTGCATGAACTCAGAAACTGACTTTTTTTTTTTGTCCTCTTCATCTCCTCATGGCTCCTTTAGAAATGGCCGTCTCTGTGCTCTGCAAGCAGTCTGTGTAAATTAACACTCTCCCTCGGAGCTCTCCCCCCCTATTCATTAGTATTTGTAGTGGCAATCCCCTCATGAACGGTGTATTGTGTCCCGGAAAGGCAGAGCTGGCGCGTAGTGATCTTGCTACAATGACTCACAGGGAAGGGGTCAGCTGCTTTACAATCTGACCTGTGTCAGACTGAGTTTACTGTGGAGAAAATCTGTAGGACTCAGGCCTACTCAAAAGTACGTACAATTTAAGAAAGCTTGCAATGTGAGTCATCAAAATGTGCAAAGATATACATCATCACTGCGCCTCTACATTACCACAATGAATGCTAATCATTTACAAAGGTAGAAATGGGCTTTAATATTGCTTAGAAAACAGTAAGAGCACCACCCTGGCTCTGCTGTCTGGCAAGGTGGTGTAAATCTCAGGACTGGATGGACAGAAACACAAACTTTGATAAAACAGCTCGCTGTGTATTTTAGCTCTGTATTTAGCAGTCTGCTTAGAGTTCACTGTTCTAGAAACCAAGGGAAAATCGCCTAATTGAGCATTTAGGAGGTCTACAAAGTAAACATTCCATAGTTTGTTTATGCATTTATATCTAATAAAAAGAGATTGCTGAACCTCTATGTGAAACTGGAGTAGCAATAGAAAAATATGCTCCCCATAAGTGGGTAGATCAGGCTCCTGTAGATCCAATCCTGTATAACATGCCTGCAAAGTAATACTGCAATGGTAGCTTTCAGCAGGCTAGAACTTAAAGCTCCATCTCTGCTTGCATAAATGAATGGTCTGAATTATGCAATATGACAGAACAGCGTTGGCCTTCCCAAAGAGCGTATCTGTTGTGCAGAACTACCAGCGTAATATATTGATGAATTGATGCTGCCCAAGGCTATGCCTCCAGGGAATGTTTCTTTACTATTTCTTTTAAGGAGCCAAAAAAGATGCTGATTATATGACATTTTAGACTGCTAGTGTGTTGCTGGTCTGCGTTTTAAACTGGAAACAAATGATTGATGAACTACAGAGAATGCCCTCCTCAATGGGCACATGGCCATGCACTGTATATTCTTGCAAAGCTCAAACTGACGCACACAAAGGTTGAACTGGATGGACCGGTCTCCTTTTCCGACCTTATCGGGTATGGAAAAGCCATTTCTATGTCGACTATATCTGCCTATGTACAGTACAACATTTAGCTGAAGGTAATGCAAGTCTGGATCTTCTAGATATGAGCTTAAATCTGTAGGTCCTAATGTTTGATCCAATCTTAACAAGTACGGCCTGTTTTTAAAGTTATTCAAAGCTTGTACATAATTTATATCCAGCAGACAATTTAAAGCCCACCTACCTACCATCCCTCCTTCCTACCCCTCTCTAACCTATCCTGCTAGGTGTATCATTTTTCCTACCTGGTGAAGCAAATTTTACTGACCCGAGGGCGCCATTTAGGTCCCTTACTGGGGCTGTTTCAACCGATGGGGACAGCTTATTTAGCAGTGCACAATAACCCTTGTGGGCTGGTCCCCTTGAGCTGATGTCAGTGGTCTTCTGGATCCTTAGAGGACCCCTATAGTGGACAGCCAAATGGGAATTATCCCCATCACACAGGAAGTAATGTGGACAACTGGTAGAAGGACCCCAACCGGAAGTAAACAAAGAGAAGGACCAAGCACTGGATGATCACGTGACTGTGGTTTAAGGGAAGTGAAAAAGGTGACTATTTTTGTTTGAGCCCAGCAATCAGTGGGGGGTAGGGGGTGGTAGGATTTTTTTATTATTTCATCCTAGAATTGGACTTTAATATACTGATTTAAACAAGATATCTTTTCTGCTGATTTATTATATTCAATTTGACGCCAATATTTGTAGACTAGTGAAGCAAGATCTTAGGATGAAAAAGCAGCTCCATTCTACGCTTGACCGGGGATCCTGTATGTTAAGCTTGCCATGCTGCCTTTCTCTTTCCTGCACTCTGGGCTGGGGATCTCCCGGTGGATTGGGTGAGCAGCTGTGAATGTGATGCAGCCACAGATTACTGTTGCAGTAGAAGGGACAACCATCTGTGCCCTCTTCACAGTGTGTTGCTGCTCCTTTCCCTGAGACCTGACAGACCTCATCTACTCCCTCTGCTATAAAACTGACACAAATAATTCACAGACTTGACAGAATTGGGGAGCAATGTGCTAGCTTCAATTTGCCAAAAGCCTACCCATTAGTGTACTGTACTGGCAGAAAAGAAATGTACACATTAGTGAACACTCAGATAGAACTGCAGTGGTTTACTGTACCGCCTCGTACATGAGCAGGCACAACAAACCATTACAGTTTCTATGGAAAACCCATTTTCTTTCATCAATAATGTAGCAGCCACATGTCTCCAATCATATTATGATGATATATGTTGTTTTTAAATACAAACATTCTTGCTTCATTCCAAAAGTGACACCTCTAAACATAGATTTTCACCAAATCCAAAACAGTGATTAACCCTTTGCGCTGCCAAGGCGTTATTTGCACACACATTATAATGCATCTTTTTGGCCTGAAAGTTACTTAAAACCCCAGAGAGTTATACATTTCCTGAAAGCACAGACCCTGTAAAATAAAATCGTGGCAGTTGCAAATATTAGCTCTTTATCAAACCCCAAATTTCTGTAAAAAATACACAAGTTAATTTGCACAAAAACACAATAATGCCCTTTTTTTGGTAAAATATAAAAGAGGAGGCTGTGCCGTGTAGATAGATAACCAACATGCCAAGCTTAAAATTGTGTGTGTCCATGAAATGGTGACAAAATACAGTACCCCAAATTGTCCATAGGCTTTGCTTTAGAGTTGACCGTGAACATTAGCCCTAGAATTATTGTTCTCACTCAACATGTGTAGCACAATCACCGTTTTCGTAAGTAGGTGCACCTGATGTGCGTTTTTGCTGGTATGTGCAAGTTCATCTGTGATTGACTTCCCTCATCGATGTTCTTGCTCTGGATCATTGACTTAAAAATGATCGAACCTAGCAGGATCTACATAACAATCAAGCAACTATGCTTTTCAGAAAGTGGTCAGCAATGGCTGCCCCCATGTTTCTTTCATGAAAGGCTCACCCTAAAGACACATTCAACAGTTCATGAAATGCCATGTTGATCATATTCAAAGCCACGGGTGATGAGAAAACAACATGAACGGACAATTTTGACTCCTTACCTGATTTATTGTCTTAAGAGGGTACTTCTTCTTGTCACGCTCCTTTCCTCTCTCCATCTCTCTTTCTGAGCTGCATGCATCATGATTGTGTCCATTTTCACTTGGCTCCGCAGAGATATATTTTCCTGACTCTCTGGATTTCTTGCTAGGATGCCTTTCCCACTTCTCTTTTCGCTCTGGTGGTTTTAACGCCAGATCTTTCTGCAAAAATAAGGCAACCATTGACAATTTAGTAAAATCAAACAACACAGCAATGGTCATTATGACAAAAGCAACACAGAATTTGATTTTAATTGTAATGCACTCTAGTAAAATAGTTTGTTTACAGGCATACTCTTGCTAGTCATACGAATAGTCATGCCTTGGCATACAACTTATGTTTTGCTTGTGCAGTAAGGCCTAGGGACTTGTCTCTAGTGTTTCTGTTGTAGGTCTTCAGTATGTTGTTATTTGAATATAATAAAGGGGAAAACACACTCACAATAAACACACTTGTCTGATGTAAGGAAATTAAAAGAATGTTGGTGCAGGATTACAAAGGCTGCCAAGCGACCCAGAGCAAAAAGTTTGCAAGAGGAAAATGTGATATTGTCCATATACCGATTGGTTACCTATGCACAGCAGCTCCGGTTTTAGTAAATTCCCCCCAATGACTGCAACTATGGACGTTCAGTGATTATTATTAAGGTAAGATTTATAAAACGAACTGCTATTCCAGCTCTTTTTTGCAAAAATCTAATTTCTAACTAGTTATGAAGCTACTCTGAGCATTTTCTACTGATTGCTCATAACAAGCACAAGGTAGCACTTGGTTAATCCTTTTAGAGCCTTAAGGTGCCCACACACCTTGCGATAATCGTACGATAATCGCGGGAAATTATCGCAAGGTGTGTGGAAGGCGTGCGACCTCTGCTACTGTAAGGTCGCACGACTTTTACCTTAGGAACATGTTCGGAAACCCGCCAAGAATCGTACGATTGTCGGCGGCTGTGTGGCATGTTCGTAAGATAAATGGTTGTAAGGTGTGTGCCCAGCATTACTCAGATAGGCTCACAAAGGATGTTTCAGGCATCAAGCCGTGTCATCAATAATCTGGTTTGACATTGTTAAGTGTGAACCCCTTATTTGCACTCAGTCCCTTTGTGAGCTCTATTCACCCAAAGCAAATTATTAATGGCGCCAGCAAGTGCATCTCATGTCCTAATTAACAGAATGTAACAGTAATAGTCACCATTCTAGCCTAGCCTTTCTGCAGCAATCTTTTCAGGATGGGCAACATGTGGATTCAAATATATGCTGGTGAATAACATTGTTACAAGTGCGAATATGCTCCAGCAAATTGTACAGTGGTTGCTGCACATTATGCCCCTGATTGACATAGCTCCATGGGAGACTATATATATAAGCTCGACAGGACTCTCTGCTCATAATCAGAATGCTCTTAAGCTGGAGATATGACAGCTCTGCAGGGACTTCATTAGTGACTTCACAGCTGCTTACTGGGAATCAACAAGGATTCTCGCTAGAGCAGCCAACAGAATCTACACAAATACAGTAACAGTGACCCAAAATGCTAAACCTTACATTCCTGATCATGCTGCTACCCTGTACAAGATGCCAATCTCCTCCTGGAAATCTTTAGGGATGTCTGGCACACATGTAAAGAAAACTGCAATGTGAACCAACTGCAATGTGAACCAAGGAGAAGAGTGACGTATGTTATGTCTCTAGAGCCACAAGCCAGAAAATATTGTGTGTATCTAAGCTAATGCGCACACACACAAAAGAAGTGGTCTTTATTGCACACACAAATCTGCTTCCTGCGAATGAAATGGAACTCTAGACATTTTCTTTTTATGTTCTTGATAGAGTGTAGCAGGGCTGAAACTATTTCAGATTTGTTGTCTTATATCCAAGTTGAGAGCACGCTTTTTTTTTTTCTTTTACCAGCAGAATGGGAAGTGGTTATTGCTGTCTATTTCCCTAGTGGACAGGTGTCACCGAGATAGGAAATAAGGAGAAAGCTCTGTAACAGAGATAAAGACCATAATAAAAACCCAAGAGATATTCTAACCCTTGCAAACTGTATCCAAAACTTAAAGAGACACTAAACTCAGGCGTTAAATCTTAAAGATACATTCAAGTACCTTAACTAGTAACAAAAATGTATATTATTTGTGTATCACTATAGATTCTCAAATCATCTCTGAATTCATACTGGCACTGTCCTTCCTTATGGAGGGTGACTACTTTTGTTCCCCATGGTCCATGTGTGTAATGTAAAGTAGCCACCGCTCCAAGCTCACTCCCGTGATGGACTACAATCCCAATAGAAATTAGTAAACTAACAGTAAACTCTCTGAGGTGAATTTATCCAAACTGGAGGACAAAATCAGGAGCAGCTGTGTATGACAACCAATCAGCTTCTCTCTCCAGTTTGTTCAGTTAAGATTTGAAAATGAGAGAGAGATGCTGATTGGTTGTCATACACAGCTGCTCCAGATTTTGTCCTCCAGTTTGGATAGATTCCTCTCTCTTTTATCAGGTATTCAACTAACCAGAACTCTAATCTGACCAGAAAAAAAATCCTGTTTCTGCGGCATGCATTATCCTGGAAACGATTGTGTCCATTTGTCTTAATTTGCTTTTGATTACTGCATTTCAATATTAATATGAAGTCAATGTTATGATATGGTACGGTATGGGGTATGGCATTAGTTAGACCTATTTTTAATAGTAACTCTCAAGCAGCCAGAAACTACATTTATCCGGAATCTACAAATCCCCGTTGATCCCAGATAACGGGGTGTTTACTGTATGTTTTTTATCTATATTTTATAAGCTCTTCCCTGATCTAAGAACATCCTGTGTTTCTCTCAGGTTAAGCTCCATTATCACCTTTGCTGTTTCCATTTGTAATGGTTTGGTTACTTTTTATATATGGTAGCATTTATTACTTTGAACCAAGCACTTGTGGGAAACCACACCACAAAATGCTTAAACCCCCACTGGATCTTAAAAAAAAAAACTATAATGCTTTAGAGTTTAGAGACAATTGTACTATTTTATATTTTTTAGGGCCCAGTCAGGCTGTGTGTTCCTTTAATGAACGCACATTAATACAACATGCTATAGTGAAAAAACCCACACTTAGCCCTTTTTTTGTCCTAATGCACCACACACAAAGTGGTTCGCATCTGTGCCTTGTCGTGCTCTGAAATGCATGTGTTGAGGTGCAGTGAAACGAGTTGGGGTGCAACTCATAACTAATTGAAGTGTAAGCCGATAATGTGTAGTTGTACCGTGCATTACTGAATGCATCTGTGTGAATGGGCCCTTAAGCTTTATACTTGTTTTTTTTTTTAAACTCAAAATGTATATTTTTGTTATACCATTGGTATAAAACTGGTACCTGCTTAAGCGATATGATTACTGATCACTGATGAGCATTACACAAGTCAAGGAAATATATAAGAAGGGACTTTCTCCTATTATCTTGCTAGCATTCAAATTCTTGCAGCTTATAAAAATTGGATATTCTAGGAACTATAAGAGATCCTATTTGGACAATGATCATTTCTGTCAAATCAAAACATTCTTACATTCCAAACCCAAGTGAAGTACTCAAAGATATCAAGTGGAAAAAAATGTATGCCACTAGTTCACAATGACCAATGTTCTATATGTGACAGCATTGACCCTAAAAAAAAATGAAGACTATCCTTGCTTGATTTAAGATGTCAAGGTCCTGTGTACCTTGTATATCATATAAGCCTTGAAAAGGCTGAGAAGTAGCACTAACAACAAATCCAGGATGTGACATGATGACCACAGCTGAAGAATATTAAACTGCAATAGAGATCTCATAAATGGGTTCTAGCAGAAAGATAGAGATGTACAATAGTTTACTCAGCTGTGTCCACATTCTGATTAGGCTCAGAATGAGACCCAATAGTCCGTGGCAGCAGAAAAGCCAGTGTATTACATTGGGAAATGTGCCTTTTAACCTTACAATAACATTTTATACACTAGACCAGAACAAGCACCAATGTATTTTATCCATTCTGCAATGCTTGCAGAAAAATAAAAAATGGAGGTATTGTTCACAGCAACCAATCAGGAATTATTTGCAGTGCGTGAGAACAAAGGTGCATAGGCGTGGACAGAGAGAATGCCTCAACTGACAAGCATACAGATCAGAAACATTTGACACAGAGCAATATTTACTTTGCGAGGATGGGATCGTTTTACTGTGTGTAGAAAACTGGATTACATCAAAGCTTAGAGAAAGAGATCAAAACAGGAAGCCGATGTACTGAGGGACAGAGAGTGCTTTATGTCAAGGCCAACACAGTAATGAAAAGGGACAGATCCTCTGCAACCTCTGGCTTGACTACAAGAGCTGCAACCTCTCTATTTCAGGAAGCACAAAGTGATTATCTACATTCTAGAGTACTATTAAGTGAGCCTTGTACTAAAATATATATCCAATTATATATTCGTTGGGGCCAGCCCGGCTTTCTACTCACAAAATCACTACAAGCCTGTAACAGACTTTAACATAGACATCTGATATATATACACACACACACACATATATATACACACACAGTCAGTCATGGCCAAAAATATTGGCACCCCTGCATTTCTGTCAGATAATGCACCACTTTGCAATACATACATACACATACACTACCATAAATGACAGTGACCAACAGGTTGGAAGATCCTCTTCTCTCCGAACATGAACGAATACTAGCTACACTGTGAAAATCATGATCGTCAACAGCTCTGTGATGTTAAAAGTGTATTTCCACTTTGGTAGCCAAATTGGGACAACACCTATTTTATACTAGTTACATGTTCTCATTCACATAGAAGAAGCTAACAAAAATTGTATGTTAATGAAGTTAATGAGAGAAACACAATCCTCAAATTTCAGTGCAAAAGCAGGGTACACATGGAGCAAACCTCAGCCGATTCAGCAGGAATTGGCCATAATTTGCCAAGTTGGTGACCCTATTCCATTGGTAGAAATCAATCATTAGATCAACCTTCGCCCAAGGAACATGTTGGATAATTTTTGAATGAATGTGGCTGCAAGCACCATTTGGGTATTCTGACAGCGGCCGTTGGCAGCTGTCAGAATAGAATGCTCACAAGAGGAGATTTCTTCATCCATGCTGAGTTGACGGAGGAAT